ATGTAAAACATAAATACAGTTTAAACACAGTACAATAAACCCTTTATAATAAACACTTCTCTACAGGTGCCAAGAGGAAGGAGCAGCGTCAAGAGGGAAAACATGCGGTTGAAAAATAGGGCTCTACAGCCACTGTTGCACACCAAGGCTGGGGTTGGCACCTTTGAACTCGTATTTAATTAATTGTGTATTTATTTACCGCATTTGTATACCGTCTTTCTCAGCCAGAGGTGACTCACACCAATGTTCTTTATAGCAAAGCAGTTGATTGAGGATTAATATAGCAACAGCAAAAAAGGTAAAAAGCATTCAAACAAGTAATAAAGAAATGTCCACAAAACAGTCAGTTGAGCAAAGCAAAATAAGACAGTCAATTATCAGTCAGGAACCAGGAGAGTTGCAAAAATCCAATCAACAAGTCCACAGGAGTTAAGAGTCTTTCAGTTCCAAAAGGTTGCAAAGACCAAAGTCCCTTGAAGAAACAGCAGCAAACTTGAACCATTAAATCCCAATGCAGGAGCTTGAAACCAGGACCAACCACATACAAGAATCTCAGAATGAACATGAATCCCGGGCAGAAGTAAACAGGAATCTTAGCATGAACAAGAAGGCATGGATAACAGGCATGAAACAAAAGGCATGGCTACACATGAAAACCAAACGTTGAACTCATTGAAGAGTATAGATTCACAGGCCCTATATTTATTTAGAAAACCATAGCAAAAGCATTCTGTTTCCCTTGGGAAACCTCTCCCTGACCCCTTTTTTCTCTTCATCTTTCAGACCATCTTCTCCCCACTTCCAGGTGGAAATGTTGATTGATTTGACTTTTCCTATCAAAGAGTGTCTGGTCTTTCCTTGGCTTTCCAATTAGTACATTCCTTTCACTATCACTATGCTTTCCTCAGCACACATCACAAAACCAACACACTCGCCCCTCCACACCCCAACCACCCCCCCCCACAGCCCCCAATGCAACATCAATGCAAAACCACTGAGTTCTAAATACTTACAGCTCTGGAATAGAAGCTATCTCTCAGTCTGCTATCTCTCTAGTGAAATGTCTTTCTATATATTATTATATTATATATATAGAAAGTCTTATATGGTGTTGTTCTAATCTCTGGTTTGCTAGTTAAACTGAATTACTGTGTCACAAAATGATGCATTTCTAAAAAGTGTTTCAACAACATAAAAATCGAGAAAGCTCTATCTGGGAAACTCTCTTTGGAGTCAAACACCGCTGTTCTCTCCAATGTGAATTCTGTGTCTATGAAGATTTCAGCTCTCAAAGAAGCTTTTTCTACACACCATGCGTTCAGAGGGTTTCTCCCCAGAGTAAGTCCTTTGATGTGAATGTAAACTTGAACAATGGGTGAAGCTCTGTCATCACTCATGGCATTTATAGGATTTCCCCCCAGTGTGAGTCCTTTCATGTGAACGTAGACTTCCACTCTGAGCAAAGCTCTGCCCACACTCCCGGCGCATATAGGGTTTCTCCCCAGTGTGAGTCCTTTGATGTGAACGTAGACCTGAACTATGGATGAAGCTCTGCCCACACTCCCGGCATGTATAGGGTTTCTCCCCAGTGTGAATCCTTTGATGTGAACGTAGACTACCACTACAAGTGAAGCTCTTTCCACACTCCAGGCATTTACAGGGTTTCTCTCCAGTGTGAGTCCTTTGATGTTTATGTAGATCTGAACTATGAGCAAAGCTCTTTCCACACTCCAGGCATGTATAGGGCTTCTCCCCAGTGTGAATCCTTTGATGTGTATGTAGACTTCCACTCGTAGTGAAGCTCTGCCCACACTCCAGGCATGTATAGGGTTTCTCCCCAGTGTGAATCCTTTGATGTAATCGTAGACTTGAACTCTCAGTGAAGCTCTTTCCGACACTCCTGGCATTTGTAGGGTTTCTCCCCAGTGTGAATCCTTTGATGTGATCGTAGATGTTCCACTCATAGTGAAGCTCTTTCCGCACTCCAGGCATGTATAGGGTTTCTCCCCAGTGTGAATCCTCTGATGTTTACGTAGATGTCCACTCTCAGAGAAGCTCTTTCCGCACTCCAGGCATGTATAGGGTTTCTCCCCAGTGTGAATCCTTTGATGTGAACGTAGACCTGAACTATAAGTGAAGCTCTGCCCACACTCCAGGCATTTATAGGGTTTCTCGCCAGTGTGAATCCTTTGATGTGAACGTAAACTTCCACTCTGAGGGAAGCTCTTTCCACACTCCAGGCATGTATAGGGTTTCTCCCCCGTGTGAATCCTTTGATGTTTATGTAGATCTGAACTCTCAGAGAAGCTCTTTCCACACTCCAGGCATGTATAGGGTTTCTCCCCAGTGTGAATCCTTTGATGTGAACGTAGACCTGAACTATAAGTGAAGCTCTGCCCACACTCCAGGCATATATAGGGTTTCTCTCCAGTGTGACTCCTTTGATGTTTATGTAGATATGAATTCTCAGAGAAGCTCTTTCCACACTCCAGGCATGTATAGGGTTTCTCCCCCGTGTGAATCCTTTGATGTTTATGTAGATCTGAACTCTCAGAGAAGCTCTTTCCACACTCCAGGCATGTATAGGGTTTCTCCCCAGTGTGAGTCCTTTGATGTTGTTTCAGATGACACCTCCAAGTGAAACTCTTCCCACATTCCAGGCATATAAATGCTTTCTCCTTCATGTCAGCCATGATATGGGTGTTCAATTGCAATACACATACTTCAGTCTTCTTTTTTTCCCTTCCTTATCTGTATGTGAGGTGAAGATTTCAGCAAGTCCATCACCTAGAGAGAAGTTCTTCTTCCTATATTATTGATTTCATTGCTGCATCCAAGGGGTGGCTCCATAGAATCCTCATTTCCCTGGTTAAGAGAGAAGCAAAAGATCAAGGATGAAGGCGAGAAGCTTTCTTTACCTCCACGATTTCCCCCTTTCCCTTCATGGGTCATGTTGAAAATGAAAATACCCAGAAATGCAAACATCGGGGTCTTCAGAGGTTCTGTTGGACAATGAAGCAAGTGGAGTGTCTCTGTCCCTGTGGAATATGTCAGGTTTTACAATGTATTGTAATATAGCTGAGTCATGCACTGCTAATAGGCTTCTATTGGAAATGCTGAGTCATGCATTAACTGTATATTGGGAATCATTTGGGGAATGTGTTCTGGCCTGATCCAGGTGATTGTGAATGATGCAATCCTGGGTTTGAGTTAAGTCAATGAGTTGGGAACCAATCAGTGATTGCTATGTGTAAATGTACAGAACTGTATATAAGGAAGTCATGTACAGTGTATATTCCTCTCCTTGTGCTGTGATGCTGTTTGCCGAAGGCTCTGTGTCATTTATTAAAGGAACCTGTCTGCTAAGACAAGATATAACCGTGTGCTGTGATAAGTTTGTAGTGTCATCTAGATTGGAGGGGAAAACAATAGTAAAGCTGACAATGGCTGGGCATATGCTCAAGTTGTGCAACTGATCTGCTGCTGAATTGTGAAATTAATCTCAACAGAATAATGTCCAAGGTGGGAGAAAGAACCCTTGTCTGCTTGAAGCAGGTGTGAATGGCCCAGCATTTCTGCATTTTCAAATAAGATTCTGTGTCCAGCACTCAGAAACAGGAGAACTCCAGACAGGAAGCAATCAGGTGCCAGTTAACACCTCCCAAACAGAGGGTGCCTCCAGGCAACAGAGGCCAGGCCACCTCTCTGCAGATATCCTCACTGATTGACTCTGCAGACTTCATGGCTACTCCAATGCTAATGCAAGCTTGCTCACTGCAACATTCATCCTTGCTTCAAACAGACAAGGGTTCTTTCTCCCGCCCTGGATATTATTCCACAGGAATATGTATACTATTCCACTTGCTTCACTGCCAAGAGAATCTCTGAAGGTGCCATCAGCCACAGATGCAGGGGGAACGCCAGGAGAGAATGCTGCTGGAACATGACTAAACATGCCAAAGAATGTACAGCAACCCAGTGATTCTGGCCATGAAAGCCTTCAACAAAACATTATTAAAAACATGCCTAATTAAGAGATATTTATCCCCTAACGGTCAGTCAGCCAACTGGAACTCTCTGTCCCGGAGTGTGGTGGAGGCTCCTTCTTTGAAGGCCATCCAGTCCAACTCCCTTCACCAGGACAAGAAAATGTAATCAAAGCCCTCCCGGCAAAGGGCCATCCAGCCATAGATAGAGATAGATGTGATTCACACACAGAAAGATATAATATCCTAGATTTGAAAGGGACCCCTCAAGAAGGACAATGATATGTTGCATATCCCAGAGCAGGGAAACCAGACACTCTCCACCTCAACACTGACAAAGAAACAGCAAGAAATACTGTGGACCCACAAGCACAAAACATTTACATATATTGGAAACCAATGCTTTCTCTTTACTTTATTTTCCAGATCACCAGACTGGGCCACAGCAACGCCTGGCAGGGGACGGCTAGTCCATAGTAATAATAATCATAACAAGTATATATTATAATAATAGTATATACTTATTATCTCCATAAATAAAAATGTAAACTTTGTTTGTGGGATTAGCATAACTCAGAAACCACTGGACACCCAATTTGGACACAAGACACCTAACAACCCAATGTATGTCCTTCACTCAAAAAAATTGATTTTGTCAATTGGGAGTTGTACAAGCCACAAGAGTAAAGATGAAGATCCACCCAGAGGACAAGTGTTCCTGCCATACATCAAGGGAACCACTGACCGCAGAGGATTTAAAGATTGAAGTGCTAAGACTGTGACACAAGCCAGTCAAGGGGTCCCAGAGGGGATTGGCACACTGGGTGCAGTGCCTCAAGACCTTGGCCTGCACTTAAAACCCATCAGCGCTGACCAAATCCCCACCTGTCAGCTGCAAAAGGCCACCCTTCTGGGATCTGCACGCATTATTCGCCGATACATCACACACCCCTAGACTCTTGCGAAGTGTCCGACGTGTGATCCAATACAACATCCAGCAGAGTGATCTTGTTTGCAGTCGACTCATCTTGTTGTGTTTCAATAACAGCAACAATATCCTAGAGCTGTAGTTTTGCGAGCCCTTTGCCGCCTCTGCCCAATAGTGCTGGTGCGTTGCCAAACTACAAACGGGAGAGACTGCTATATTAATATATATTTTTTATTTACAATGATGTAAATCATCACTAGTGCCTGGCATATTAATATTTTCCATTTACAATATTTTAATATTATAAGTATATATTATTTGAAATATGGAGCCCTCGGTGGCGCAGTGGGTTAAAGCCCTGTGCCGGCAGGACTGAAGACCGTCAGGTCGCAGGTTCGAATCCGGGGAGAGGCGGATGAGCTCCCTCTATCAGCTCCAGCTCCTCGTGCGGGGACATGAGAGAAGCCTCCCACAAGGATGATAAAAACATCAAATCATCCAGGCGTCCCCTGGGCAACGTCCTTGCAGACGGCCAATTCTCTCACACCAGGAGCAACTTGCAATCACTCCTGACACGACCAAAATTTGAAATATTATATTTAAGAGTGTCTTCCATATTAATATATTGATTTATATTTTAATATTATACATTAAATATTATTTTACATCATATTATATTTAAGATAAGAGTGTCTGCCACACTAATACATTTTATTTACTATTTATAATATTTTAATCATTAGTGCCTTTCATATTAATCTATTTATAATATTTTAATATCATACATTAAATATTACTTTAAATATAATTTTTAATATTAGAGTGTCTCCTATATTAATACTTCTATTATTTATATTTTTATTCATCATTAGTGTGTCTACCATATTAATATATTACTTATGATACTATAAATAAAGTATAATTTTAAATATTGTATTTAATATTAGTGTCTCCCATATTATATTATTTTTATTTACAATATTTTTAGCCATCATTAGAGTGCCCGCCATATTAATACATTTAGTAATAAAATAATTGATTTTTTAATTTTTAAAAAGGAGCAAAATAAGGAAGAGGAATATAACATTATTATAATATATAATAATAATAATAATAATAATACTTTATTTATACCCCGCTACCATCTCCCCAAGGGACTCGGTGCGGCTTACATGAGGCCAAGCCCACAATACATCAGTACAAGCAATAACAGCAGCAATACTAAGCAATTAAAATAAATCTCATACACAGAGTAACGTAAACATGAACAATAGCACAATACACATGTACAATCTGTGGCTAGGCCAATGTAATTAAAGTTTAAAAATAATGCTGGGTATGGACAAGAGAGAGGAGGTGGGGCGTTAGTGGGAACATACAAGCGGTCCTAAATCAATATAAAGTGCTTTTGGAGGACAAAGTGCTAAGGATTCATTCTTCTGGGAAGGCACACTGGAACATTATTATTATTATTATTATTTATTTATTTGCAGTATTTCTATTCCGCCCTTTTCCTCACCCCGCAGGGGACTCAGGGCGGATTACAGTGTACACATATATGGCAAGCATTCAATGCCAATTTTGACTTACAACATATACAGACATAAGACAGAGGCTATTTAACTTTTTCTGGCTGCCAGGGTTTAGGAGACAGGTCAGGATACCAAAAATCCACAAACCTGGGGGAAAACCAGCAGCATCTACCACCAGGATAAGACAAATACTTTTCTCCCAAAGATCAGTCCCAAGGCTAGCTCCTTATATCAAGAAACACCCACCTGCAACGTATCTCTTGCATTTATTTATTTATTTACAGTATTAATATTCCACCCTTCTCACCCTGCAGGGGACTCAGGGCGGATTACAATGTACACATATATGGCAAACATTCAATGCCAAAGACACACAACAGATTATAGACAGACGGTCAGAGGCTATTTAACTTTTTCTGGCTGCCAGGGGAGCTGTCGCTTTCATCGTCCATCTGCGACACTGATGAAGCACTTCCGCATTCCCCGCTTTGCTGGAGTCCTTTTTATGGCCTCATAAATCAGTTAATTTAGCCTCCCCACACTTTAAGGTGGTACCTAATTTTCCTACTTGACAGA